CTAACATCTCTACATATAGTTGTACTGAGCGAAAGCTAGCCATAGAGTAACGTACAAAAACAAGCATAATTATAAGTAATCATTGATCCGTACAGCATATACTACGTGTGAGTATACTGTTGTCCGTTAACTAACCACACATTCACACACAGTTAAGGGGAGTCAAGACAAGTGTTTCCTGTCAGAACTGGTCGTTCCCTTAACAATAGTATAAACTGTATATATATTTTTGGTATTTGAGATAAAATCTGATAAACAAATTATACATAAATGCCTTTAATTGAGTTTTTATTAAATTTAGCATATCACAATAAATAGATTTAATCATAATTTTAATAATGTTGCAAACTTGCAAAACTTAATTCATAGCTTTTCCACTAATAATAACTTTGAATGATTATCTATTGATTATTATAAGTCATGCATTCATAAAACAATAAACTTTAAGTTGTTTAATTTTACATTGTTGAAACCGTATATTTTTGTGTGTTAAATTAAACCATGTGAAAATGTATAAAGAAATTTCAATATGATTTTTTGCTTTAATCAATACCTCAGCTTTATATTAATAATTATAAGTTATGTTTATAATTAATTATTTAATTATAAACAATTTATATTATAAAAATATATAATTTATTGTTTTCCATTTAATTTCGTTTCCTAACAGTGTTTTGTGTTAATACTAGACCATAGCCCAATTTCCGCTTCCGTTTACCGCTTCCCTCTAACCAAAACAAAAACAAAAACTTAAACAAAAAAAGTTATATTGATATTTCCGAACCGAGTCTCGAACAGGCAACCTATTTAGGTCACAGGCAAGCACTCTAACCATCTAACCATCACTCTACTATTAATAAAGCAAGTGCTTTATTTCAATAACATTGAAATTCACAAATTGCTCACAAACTCTGTTACAACTCCCTCTCCTACTATTGTTTTCTATCCCCTCCATAGTTTTCACTATAGTTTCCCCTCACACTCTTTCCTATTATATGTTACGTCTGTCAGGGTTGTCCCTTGCATGACATTGGCTTATATTACTTGATATGAATTCATTAAAAAAAAATTGAGGCAAACAATTGCTTAAATGACTTTTGCTTTAAGGATACTTGTTCAAAATTTTAATTTGTTTTACCTATTTTAAATTATTTGTAATAATTAATATTTTTAATTTCTATCAAAATAATAAATACTTGTTATATTAATAATATTTATATATAAAATCATTTTGTCGAGCAAGTGTATTTTGAGCAAATGTTAATATGTCAATATATTTTGAAAAAATCAATAATAATTTTTAGTAATAAGACATATATTAATATAATTATTTATTTATTATTTGTATGGATAATATGCAGTACCAGGATTAGTTTGTTTTAAAAATTTGTTAAACCATAGTAACCTTTATAATAACCATATTGATTTAAATAACAATAGATAGTATAAACGACAATTTTAATTATTTATAATATCAAAAATGTCAATAGAGTTAGTAAAAAGTAAAAAGATATGTATTAATAAAATTCTTTGTTTGAATAATGTGCGGTAACCGGATTAGTTTGTTTTGAAAAGTTTTTAACCATAGTAACTATTATAATAATTAAAAGATAGCATAAACGACAATTATTAAATAACATACACCGATATCACTTGAGTTTCCAATACAGTAGTCACTTGAGTTTATGTCGTAAAAACATTTGATATGCAATAATAAATAGCTTAGAGTTTAATAATATAATGGATTTGTTGCGGATTAGTAGTGTTTGGGCAAAATTGAAATGCAGTTTTGTTATCATATTTAACAAAATAATTGTATTAATTGGTATCTTAACAAAATTACTACAAATAATTTGTAGAATTATAATTAAATATATTTCTACATTAATTAATTATACAATTAATAATGTATCACTTCTTAAGCTTAAGACAAAAGTGTTGTGCTTTTGTATGCTATCTTATGGTGCGATAGAATTAACAAAAACTTACTTTAGTTATGACCATATCTATAGCGTTAACGTTAAGCCAAGCAATCGTTTTGTTTTACCAGAAATTACAATCTGTACGGAAAGTAATGTGTTTTTTGACAAAACAAAGATTAATACAGAGTTTGGGTTAAATTATGAATACGAGTTGTGGAAAGAAAAAGCAAAAATACTGACAAAAAGTAGAATAAATAAATATTGTAACGAACATACATTTGATATATCATTAATGTATTATGTTTGCAATAAACCAACATTTGTTGAAAATTATTATTTAAATCGTTTTTACGATAAATATTTGTCGCAAATGTTTGCCAACTATTCGTTCAATGATTTATTCAATCGACTCTCAATTAATGGCAACGAATTGATTAACTGTTCGGCAAAATTGGGCATAAAATACAACAATGAGTACAGAGTGTCCGATAAATGTGTCTCTAATGACGACAACACTGTTTTGCACAGTATTTACGGTACGAAAGACTTTGGCGTTTGTTTTAAGTATNAATGACGACAACACTGTTTTGCACAGTATTTACGGTACGAAAGACTTTGGCGTTTGTTTTAAGTATTTCTCAAACGACGGAAATACTAATCACTTCTCTCTCATTGACGACCATTTCGTTGAGTTTCGCATCTCATATGAAAAACAACAACACTTTCTTTTAACCGATACTATTTTGGACAAAAACATTAAAGTTTATGAATTAACGTCTAATTTGCCTGAAAATTTTAAAATTCCTTCATTTGATGAAACACTCGTAATGTATGTATTCGTGGATCAAATGTCTGAAAAATTGATGGCAACGAAAGGGACGGCACTTAAATTTCCGAGTTTTGGCATTAATGCGAGGATTAATATATACAACACTTATGTGAACCGATTGTCCACACCTTTTATGCAATACTGTCGACACAATTCAGGTAATGATTTTAAAATTTAATGAAAGCGTAGTTTTGTATTAAAAATAACTACAATTAACCCTATACGCGTATTTTGAGAGTTTCAAACCCAGTACCACTTTGAAAATCAATTAAAAATCAACGGTTCATTCTATTGTAAAATAAACTCAGTTATGCCTCGAAAACATTATTATTTATAAACACAAAAATTTTTAGATTTTTAAATTTAGTTTATCATATTTTAATTAACAATTGGGTAATTATTATCCCATACGACGCGTAACGTAAGTTTTAATGCTGTCGTGCTAATCATTGTAGATGTTGTGCTCGCGCATGACGCTATGCTTGGGAAACTAATCACCCACTGTACACGATAGGTAGTAAATCTACAATATTAATATATTAATATAATGTTTGTAGATATTATTATAATAAAAATTGATAAATTAATAAAAATGTAGTTATAAAAATACATTAGTTACTTTTGTTTAAAAGGAGGTTTGGATAACGGGGGAATAGTGAAGTAATTGAATGTTTAATTTATAAAATGCAATCATATGCAACAACAACACCTACACTGACACTACAACCATATTTACTGCTGGAATATTTATATCCAACTGTACACAGTTCAGCATATATGGTAGATTAAACTCCCAATTTGCACACTATACTGCTGGGTGATTTAAATCCCATGATAATAGCAACGTTCATAATGTATGCAGACGCTTGTGGGGTTAACTAACTTATTTAAACGAGATTTTTGATATTAGTATTTTAAATTATTTTTAGCAATGTTTTACAAATTGTTTTATTTCCAAATTAGATTCGTATACCACTTGCTATTGGGATTGTGTTTACAAAATGTTAAATGAATTACACAAATGTATTCCAAATCCATATTTGAATGAAAAGATTATTCTCCGGAATGCGAGACAAACAAAGTATGAATTCTGTAATAATTCTGTGGTTTTCAACGAATCAAACAAAGTATACGATAAATGCAGAGATAGTTGTGTTAAGGATTGCCATCAGATTTACCACACTTTAGAGTTGGATAAAACAGAGTTTATGGGACTCACGGATAGTGTACTCACTATTCAATACAAACCGTATCAGGAATTTCATTATACAAGTCATGAAAAATATTTAATTGTTAATTACATGTCAGACATCGGGGGTCTGTTTGGGCTGTGGTTTGGGGTGGCGTTCATAGACACGAGTGCTTTGATTGCAATAATATTTGCTGGGATTAAACGCATGTTTATAACATTTATTAGTGAAAGAGTATTAATTTCCACATTGATATTCATTAATTGCATTAAGCGATTGCTCTCCCGACTTGAATTATATAATTGGCGTAAAATAATATCAATCATAACAATACCTTTAATTATATATCAAATCTATTCATTAACTTACAATTACTTCTCATTTCCCACACAAACGACACTCAAAATGATTGAATTGAAGGACATTTCAACAAATAGTATACCCATTGAGTCTATACCAGCCGTCACTCTATGCTATGAACACGTGTTAAGAGATATTATATTTAATAAACCCACGCGAGAGTACATTGAAAATGATTTATTAAATAATCAACATTGGTTATCAGCCAATGATAAAAAATACAATTCTATCCATTATATCAATAAATTAGCATCGTACTATTTTCAAACTTATCATAATGGAAAAATTTTGCCACTTTATTTTGTAAAATACTTTAAAGTAGCAAATATTGAAACTTTTGACAAAATAGATCATGATTATATTAATCAATATGGCTTAACAAATGCAACTGTAATTCTATTGACACAATTTACTAAATATATTAAGTGCAGAATTAAAGGTCAATTGTGCGGTAAAGTGCGGCCACCAGTGGTCACACTATCGCCGTTCGGTCGGTGCCACACATTTCTCGCCGGGAATAACAGGGAATATATTGTCGGCAATAAATCGTCACAATATAAGTTTCCGCTTATAATTGATGGCTCGGATGTGTACACATTCTTAGAGAAACGAGGATTTGATGGCCCGAGAAATAAGATAAATATATTGAGAAAACGATTTATTATTCATTCACAGAAAGAGTTGCCTAAACTGACGGATATGTGGTTTGAATACAAGGATCTTAACGCTCCCTTCACTACAGTTAACGCATTAAATGTAAAATTAATACCCTATGAGTTGAGACGACTGCCGGCGCCTTACGATAGCGGACGCGACGGCGGATGCCGTGAGAGGTCTGTCGGAGACACACAATACGATTGTCTGCAGCGATGCTATCGATCGCTATATGAGAGACAATNTGCCGGCGCCTTACGATAGCGGACGCGACGGCGGATGCCGTGAGAGGTCTGTCGGAGACACACAATACGATTGTCTGCAGCGATGCTATCGATCGCTATATGAGAGACAATACGGAAACACAACCACTTGTTATGCGGACAACGATTTACGGACCATTGAGTTAGCGATTGGCGACTATATTGTGACGGATTCTGTTAATCAATGTTCTATACAATCAGACAAATCCATTGAATTCAAACGCAAAACCAAAAACTACTGTCAGTTGGAATGTCCGCCAAATTGTCGGGAAATAATATACCATATAAAAAGCGAAACATGTAAAATTAAAAAGGCTCAGAGATTGGAAGATGATCCGATTACTTCTATCGCATTCTCAAATAGTTATTATTTGCAACTCATGTATGAACCGAAAATAATATTTTTAAACTTCATCATTAATATAGTAAATGTGTTGTGTCTATGGCACGGACTCACAATCGTCGGTATTTTACAACATTTTCTAATGTATTTTGTTAATAAAGTTCGCATGCTTTCAATCGTTCGCCGATCTTTTCGACGACTGACCACTCGTTTTCGCCGGACTTTGATTTTCATACGATTCTATATTCGCGTAATTAATTGACATTTAATATAATTATTTTAAAAATATTTTAATTTTTGAAATAATTTTTATATATAGAGATCATTCTTATGCCTAATGGCGTCAATACTTGTCTATCAATTGTTTAGTATTTCTGTCGAGTATTTTGCATACAAAACGGTAACCGTGTTTGACGTGATGGACAACTCGATGGACCCGCACTTCCCGGTTATAACGCTGGCATTTAACGAACAATTTCTTATTGGAAGTAAACTCCATCGCCAGTGTATGCGCTCAAACAAATCACCATTTTGTAAAACTCCCGATAATTGGCCCCCTATTGGCCCCTTATTTAATTACAACAATCGTATTCACCCATACGTTGAGACACGTATAGCTAGCGGTGAGGTTAACGATTGGCCGGGCGTTGATGTGTCGTCACTAAAACACCTTATAATGACAATATACGACTTTAGAACACAGTCCTACTACTTTATGGTCAGCGTATTTGTTGGCCATAAACCGGTTACCAATGGTATTGGTATCGAACCGGTTGTTGTGATTAGACAATGGAGACAAACGTATGAAACGAACGCAAAGTATGTGTTATTTCATTCACAACCGGTCGCCGACTTTGAGCCCTTATTTTACGGCGCGACTCTATTATGGGCCGGAAATCATACGTTTTATTTGACAAAAACCGCGCGCCGACTGTTGCCCGCGCCGTACGGCCGGTGCAGTCACTACGGCTCAGACCCGTCGACCGGTGCCGAAGGGGACGGCAGTGGACAACCGTTTTGGGCAATCTCTCACTGGCATTGTATGAGAAAGTGTCGACTGAATTACGCGAATCAAACAAATTACAAGAACTATACGTTTTATAGTACTGACTTTATTCTTCATGAGTTAGACTTCAACGGCCGGCCTGATTATATAGATCAATTTTATAATATTCAAATAGATTCTGTAAGTATAATTATCATGCTACTTAAAAGGAATATATTTATATAACAAATGCCGTAGCCCATTCTGATTGGTATGGCCATGTTCAGTACGGTCCATAAATTTATTTTCCGTTGAGAGAATCGGCAAATGGCCAGAAATGATCGAATTATGGACAAAATTCGGAATAAATACATAGCATTCAATACATAGACTTTTGGTGAATGGCCCTGTAATATGTGTGAATCACCATTCATCACAACTTTTATTGCTTTTAACGTTGCGTGCATTCAATTGAATGCTACAATGTATGTATGTACAATGTATGTATTTATTCCGAATTTTGTCCATAATTTGATCATTTCTAGCCATTCGCCAATTTTCTCAACGGAAAATAAATCTATGGACTGTACTGAACATGGCCATACCAATCAGAATTGGCTACGGCATTTGTTATATAAATATATTCCTTATTAGAATCTTGATTGTTAATTTCTAACGTCGATTAAATAACGTAAAATAGTTTAACAATATACAGAATGACCCCGGTTTTAACATAGGCGATTTTAACAGATTTTGCTTTTAACATAAGATTTTGTAAACCCGGGCGAGTTTTATGCATACTGTAATGTTAATGCTTTTGATTTTAACAGCTTTCGATTTTAACACTGAAATTTTTATGCTTGTATAGCATAAACAATGCTTCAATTTTAACACTTTGCTTACTAAATGAACTTTATTTGTATAGATTGTCATTTTATGTTATTTCATGTAAAAATATAGAATAGTAAGTTTAGAAAGAGTCTATCTATAGAAGCAAAACTACAAAAACATTAAATTAAATAACTATAATGTTATTTCAATGCATATATAGCCATTTCCGATTTTAACAAAATTGGAATTTAACAGATACTTTTTGCAGCCCCAATAATGTGTCAAATTCGGGGTCATTCTGTAGTAAGTAAATTTTTGATTAAATTGAAAACTAGTAAAATAATATTTTTTCTAATGTTCGTTGCAGTTGTAACAATACTTAGAACATATTTAGGCCTAAACCTCAAATTATATTTATTATATTTATTTTATTGAACCATTCTATTATTAACATAAATATTATTATTTAATGCAAAACTGCAAAATATATTAATATTTTGTTAAAAAATAAATGCATATCTAACAAGTGCATATTATATTAAATATTTAATGAGTTTATTTTGCATTATTTTTAATACCCTGGACATAAGAAATAAAATACAACACTAAAAGTACAGTATAAACTTCCAATGCAAAATTCCAACTTATGCAATTATATAATATTGATATGGTAGGAAAGAATTTGAATATCCACTAGCTGATGTCCACTAGCCAGTCCTGGTTGATATAGTCATGGCCAGTATTGTATGAAGATAAATAAAAAATCAACACAACGTGCGAATGGCCACAAACACTGTATGGCTAAATTTCTGATTACTTGCATACGGCTGAATACATTAAAAATTGTCTTTCCACACGAATGCTATTACCTAACACTATACTGTTATAAGACGTATCCAAGTGGCTAAAAATATAATTATAACTTTGGTGTTTATGGCCATTTGCACTTTCTGACAATTGTTTATTAATTTATATACAATACTGGACATGACCATATCAACTAGTGATCAAAATGTTGGTGCCGGTGCCGAGGTACTGGCACCGGCACTCAGTGCCGTTGTGCCGGTGCCGCAACACTGGAACGGCACCGGCATTAGTTCTGACTGTACCGGCACTGAACCGGTACCATTTAATGTTGTATTTTTTAGCATTTCTAACTAAAATTAAATCAAAAATTAAATTATTTTATTTAAATGTGTTGTTACACATTTAAATGTATTATAAATCTATATATAAATACAGCGAAATTGCATGTTTTATATCTGTGAATGTGACAAATAACATGTCTGCACAAGCTCTATCGGCCCCGGCACCACCGGCACCAGCGGCACTAACGGCATTTAGGCGGCACCGGCACTCAAAAATTAGAATTTTTCGATCACTAATATCAACCCCGACTGGATCAGCTAAGTGATATTCGCATACTTCTCCTCTTACTTGTTTTGTAAGTTGTTTAAAATAATATTATAATAATTTTAATATTTAGTTTAAAGTGTCTGCTATTTGTCTGTCGTATTGTCCGCCCGATTGTCTGGCAATCGATTATCGCTCGCGTGTTGTCAACGATAACAAGGATTACATTCAAAGGAATCGGTATTACAACGACAGACCGGAGGACTGGTATTCATCACAGCGTTTGGTTTGGGACTCAACTCAACCGATGTATGTCTATAAAGATGAGCCCATTATGTCATTCCCGGCGTACATGTCATACATCGGCGGACTCTTNAGCCCATTATGTCATTCCCGGCGTACATGTCATACATCGGCGGACTCTTTGGCATCTGGTTTGGCACTAATGGCCAGCAATTGATTGTCGCCGTAATTGACAGCCGATTATGGTTTTGGTTGAAACAATCATTTGTTGACCGGTTTTCACGTCATAACAGAATTCAAACCATAAATATTAATACTATTTCATAAACTATTAATTAACACAAAATATAAAGATACTTATTATATAAAGATTATAGGAAAGAATTTGAATATTCAATAGCTGATCCAGTTCTGGTTGATATAGTCATGTCCAGTATTGTATGAAGATAAATAAACAATTAAGATAACGTGCGAATGGCCACAAACACCAAAGTTATGGCTAAATTGCTAACCACTTGCATAGGGCTGAATACATTGAAAATTGTCTTTTCAAATGAGTAATACCATTATTTAACACAATACTGTTATAAGACGTATCCAAGTGGCTAAAAATATAATTATAACTTTGGTGGTATAATTATATAAAGATACTTTAATAAAAATACTTATTATAATTTTATTTACTTCACTATTTTAATAATTTATATTATTATATTTACCATTATAAAGTTTACTATACCAAATATAAAACGAGTAAACGTCATTCAAGTAAACTTCACTCGACTAATTGTTGTTGAAGTAATTTCATTTAGAAAATAAGATTTGAGGAAATGTTATTTCAGATATAAAACGGCATATGTATTGAGGTTATACTGTATGTCAATGCAGTCCCCAATAAACGGTGTATTGAATGAAAAACTGCAGATCAAACCAACTAACAGAGCGTTCAGAAATAAATGTCCAAAATGGACATAACTTTCGAACGAATTAAGATAATTTGATTCTGTCTACGGATTATAATAACACTATCCCATGTCCATATCTCATGTAAAATTTATCGGGATTGATTAATATTAAGAGTATTTATTTTCAAAAAAAACTAACAAAAAAATTGTCAAAAAAAATTTATTGAAATAGGAAAACTTTTTTCCTGATTAATAAAAGTCATAAGTGTCTAAGTAATAATGATAGCTACACATCTCCCCTATAATCTAAAAGTGTTTCTCTACGACTTATACTTTTGTTTTTATAATAGGTAGAACCAAGGCACCTATGGGCTAAATTTAACTTTGTCAATTTTTTTAATGAGCTTTGTAAAAAAATCATTTCTCGCACATACACTGCACTACACTGTAAGTGTAAAAATATCATTGAAAAAATGACAAAGTTGAATTTTGCTCATAAATGCATTGGTTATAATTTTCATTAAAAAAAACCCAGAAATTTATGGCTTTGGTTGAGGCGATCACTTGTCCACCGCTTTTTCCGTAATAACAGAATTCAAACCATAAATATTAATACTATTTCATGAAATATAATCTTGAAAAATATTATAGTGTTTTACCAACTGGGTGAAAAAACTGTTGTGGGAACTTAGCATCTGTATGAACCTAACCCTAAAACCAAAACCTCCAGTTCATAGACATAATGTTAAAATAGTATCAACCAGCGGATCTCTGAGCGGGCATAATTGGGCAAACTTGGGTATTATAGGGCAACAGACTTTATACTCAATTTATTATCACCTGTACGCATTCACATATATAATGATCAACTACTGCGAGTGGTGGATTGCTAAATTTATTAAATTTACTTATCTAAATTTAAATTTTGTATAAAATTATGTCAAATAATTGTTGTCAAATTCTCAATCGCTCTCTCAATCATATAAACCATAGCTTTTATATAAGGGGTGAGTCTATATAACAGGAATATAAATAAGGTTATTTTTAAATGGCTGCCAAATTGTTTTGGTTTATGCCATCATATTAATTTAAACACTATTTTATACATTCATTATTCCTCTTTAATTATCTGTAAAAAAAAGTTTCAAAATTATTTCAAAAAGTGATGATTTTACCCAAATGTTATAATACCAAGAAGATGAAAAAATATGACCTATTTTTGTTTTAAGTTAAATGGATAATAAATAGACCTGCAGTAACAATATATAAATCCTAAACGATCCACTGTGTATCAATCAATGACATGAATTGATCAAAAGTTTTAAATTTTGTGATTATTAGCTCAAAGATCGCACCCGAACGGCCCGACACCGGGAAATAGACAATTATGTGCCCAATGTTCGGATAGTGTGCGACCCGCGATTTTCGCACATAGAATAGTTGGTCAACTTATGCTTATGCTGGAAAATAATTTGTGACCATTTTAACCACAAAGGGAGTTTGTTCAGAGGATGTAATCTGATACATACCTAAAATATGCCTATTTTTAGCCTATTTTTGGACCACATTTTTCGTAAATTGCCCCAAAAAATTTACAGATCTTTGAGTTAGAAGTTTACCCCCACCAACCATATTATCCTGTTATTCCTCTATAAGATTAGTACTAATATCATTCTCTGTAGTCAGTCTTTATTGGTAGAAATTTTAAAACAAAAGTAGTGGTCGATACAGACATTACTCACTTCTTTGACCTCTAGGACAGCCATTTTAATCAGGGAGACGTTCAAAGTTTGCTCGAATGATGGTCAATACTAGCCAATAATGTTGGCTATTCAATAATTTAAAATAATATTCTGCTTCATAATAAAAAATTTAACTTTAATTTTGCCTGCAATTTTCCTGCTATTTCCACTCACGCCTTATAATTCACATAAATTTCGTATATATAAACTTATAAATTAATGCTAAAACAAGCTATCTACAGTAGATAGCTTGTTTTTAACATTAATTTATAAGTTTATATATACGAAATTTATGTGAATTATAAAAGCTATGGTTTGTATGCTCTCAATGACACTTTGACTGTCACTCATTTCTTTATTTCTCATTTTGAAAACTTTTTTGGCAATATTTTGTAAACAAATGTAATGCCATTTGTGATGAATGTTTCAAAGATTTCCAAAACACAACAAATATAATGTTTAGTTTAAAACTTTTATTGAAAGCTTTTTTTGTAAGAAGCGTTCTCCTGTTTTGTAAGAAGATACTATCAACTGTGTGAACGTCAACTGTATCAACATATCATTTGTGTAAAAAACATGTATAAAGTGACAAAACACACAAATAGATGACAGCATTTATATTTGTTTTGTATACAAAACCAAAAATCATTAACATAAATTAAAATTACAATATAAGGAGAGCGCTGGTGCATACAAAAACCTATTAATGTAACATATATTTTAAAAAGAACAATACAATCATACTTTAACATATAATCATTTAACCAAATGCTAAAACGCAATCTGTTCACTCAGTTGATAAAATACTGTATTACTATAATTATTTTTATTTATTTTATGCTGCATATTTATGTGATTTGCTATTTTACATTATATTAGTTAACATTTAAGTATAAAAATATAAACGAGATAAATAATAAGTATTTATATAACATATTCGATATAATTACAATAAAATTTAAAACTAGATTTATTAACCGGTTATACCCTAGACTCTGTTTACTAATACCGTTAGTTTAGTAATGTTTGCGTTGTTTTATATGAAATTTATTTGGTTTATCATAAGTGCAACAAATATCCATAGAAACAGATAAGAAATTCGTAATCATTATATTTGTGTATTTCATATAGAAACTGAAATTATAGCGTTTGAGTTACGTATTATATATTATGATTGTTATAATTATTATTTATATATTATAAAATTGTTTTTAGTTTATTTTTGATATAATTTCTACCGTAAAAATGTGTTCAAAGTATTTGTTGGACTCAATGGATAGGTTTGGCGACGATTTGTGTGAAGTATTGTTGAGTTATCTGTCATTTGAGGACCGATTCCGGTGTGAATGTGTGTCCACTCAATGGCAAC